AATTGCACGGGTGCAACTTTGATATATTTGGACAGATGACGTACAAGTTCTGTTTGATTTATGTACTAGATGGATTCATTTTAGAGCTGTGCATTTATGAACTGGATACAGGAAGCGGAACTGGGAATAGTTATTTCCCAGAAATCTAGAATAGCCGCTTTTTTTAGTTTTGTTTTCAGCATCCCTGCCAAACTTTCCAAGTCCTTTTGGCTGTGAGGAAAAATGCTAAATATTTTGTGCTTGGACTGGAAAGCCAAAGCTTTTTTGAACCCAGCTGCTATTTATAAATAACATTTATTGTTTACGGGAGGGGAAAGAAATAATTTCTAAATAGCTCTTCCCATTGAAATACACATCTGCCAAATTTCACCCTGATCAATCAGCTACTTGGGCTGATAGTTCTCTGCTGAAAACAGCCAAATATAAAGTGTGTTTTAAATACGAAGATTATAACTCGGTGTAACAGTCACATTTTACTGATTTATAAGATCTGGCACAAGAAAAAAAAGACGATCCATTTCTTACCAAAACCACAGTTACCCCCCCCCCTTTTTTTTAAAGAAAAAAATCTGTTGTTGCCAGTTATTAGAAATGGCACCTTTTCCCATGAGATTTTTCTTCCTTATCTTCCACTTGAAGAAGATGGAACCGTTCTGCGGACACAAAAGCTTTGATCCGGTATTCCTTTCTAGGGCAAAAAACCCATTGACCTCAATAGTTCTATCTTAAGACAGAATTGGGTAAGGATTGTAGGAGTTCTGAGCCAAGAGGCCAATATGGCGTCTGTGCACAATGTGTATCATATCCTTTCATTTAAGAGAATTTCACTGTGTCATGCAGTTTTTCTTTTCAGTACATAAGGGCAAGATGGAGTGAATAAAAGTTGGGAATGAACTTCATAGCTACCGAGCGATTGAAGGGCCAGATTCCAAGATAACCCCAAATCCCAAATATCCTAGCGTTCATTCGGCAGCTGGGAAGAACATTCAGCGTTAAAGCATAACAACCAAGCTAATAACTGATTAAAAGGGAATAAAAAGAGAAAGGAAGCAGACTTCAAAACTCAGCATAAAACAGCAGCACAAAACAGAATGTTTACATTTACACGAGTCTAAAACGTTATGAAAGGAAATTCAGTCAGGGGTACTTGCAAAACTCATGAGGAGGGCGAATAATACATAAATAAATAAATAAATAAATAAAAATAATCAAAAAGGTCCTGAAGAGTAAAACCTTTCTTTCAAAAAGTGAAATAAGTTTCTGTAGCCTAAAAGCAGAAGCATCTACCTTTACCACTTCCTGTGTTGCCTCTGAGTATGAATACCGCCGTCTGTTCAAAATCCGCAAGTGGTGAGTGGCGGGGGATCGGGGGGGGGGAGGAAATCCTGGTCTGAAGAGAAGCAAAACAACTTACACATGTGGACAAGAAACGAAACTTTACTCTGGCTAAAAACACTATCCGAAACGAGGGTTGTAATCTTAGCAGTTAATAACGCATTTAGACCCCTGGTACAGTAAAACCTTGTGTGCCTTTTAAAGGACAAGCTGTGGGAAAGAAAATTAAAATAAAAGTGGGATTGTTGCTTTGAACCAGTATTGTGGCTTTCGCCCTTTGAAAGAATATGATAAGTTGTTTGAAATAAGTGGGGGTCTGAGTCTCCTCTGGCTGCATGTGGATTTTCACACATGGAACTCCACTGACTTCCGGAGAGCGGCTGCTGGGTTAGTGGAATCCGAATCGGGTCTTGGGATAGAATTGGGACCCAAACATATTATTGGAGGGGGAAGAGGGAAATGGAATTAACAAGCCATGGTAGTGAGAGAAGGCCGGTGGCTTCCACCCAGGGACAGAAGGAAAAGAAAAGCACACTAGAATTAGGTCGTTAAATAATTCCTTCAATAAAATCTATGGCATGAGACCTTGCCAAAAGAGAGAGAGAGAGAGAGAGAGAGAGAGAGAGAGAGATGGGGGGTATTCTTTCAAATAGCTATTTTTACAGCACTTTGCCAACAGCTTAGACTCATACTGAATGGGGTTGAGAGAATTTTAGGTAGACTGGAGCGCTGCGAAAGAATAAGATATTGGGGTTAATTTGGTGCATTTAACAGGAGTTGTTCATTGTCATTCGTGTGTGTGGCGGGGGTGGGGGAGTGCAGAGCAGGAGCTGATGTTATTTTGCAAACGAATCCGTTATTATACGGAGCTTTCTGTAGCAATCCCAGCATCGCTGCTTCTCCAGGTGAAGTCGCTCTTATCCTTCTGATTTGGAATGAAAAGAAAACAAACCGCTTCAGATATAAGCCAGGCAAATCAGATGCATCATGGCAACTAGTTTTTAATTCACATATAGGATGTTTCCCCTTTTTCCTTCCCACCGCCCTTTGGAAAATAGACCCAGTTCTGTTTTCAACCGTGGGGGTTCGGGGGGGGGGATTCTGATCTCAGTTACAGCACTGTTACTCCATTAGCTTCAATGAACCCTGCTGCTGTCTTTACACTGGGGCAAGTGAGATCAAAATCTGGAGGCCATGCCTTTACAAGACAGGTTAGTGTTCGCCTTATGGGGATACTATTACCTAATCGTTGATTATTAACTTTGCAAGATTGTTCATTTCCGGAGCGATGTTCTGGTGATAACATAAATATCACTTTGTTTCTATTATAAAGACTCACAGAACTTATTACAAGTATGGAATGCAAATAGTTTTATGCTGACTTCCTCCCCCCCCCCCCCGTTGTTTTTTTTTTTTTCTGAATGGCTGCTAGTTTAATAGGGAAGATGGGCACATTGCCTACAACAATCACCAGTTGCAGGGATAAAGCATGCCCCTGGTTAAAGGCTATAAAACAGTTTTTTACCATTCCGACCCTAGAATAAACTGAATTCACAGCAATCCTTCGGCTACAGAAGAAATAGCAGATAATATTCTAAACTTGGATATCCCCTCCATCTTTAGTAATTCGAAACTCAAAGTGTGAGGCAAGCACACTTAAAAAAAAAAATCTCGCCCCAGACGATATAATATTTACTTTTATGCTCATTTCAGAAACTGGTATACAGAAAGCTATTTCCATTCTTTGATATCATTACACAGTATAAATATAGTTTTTAGGAGCCTACTAACGTGGAATATTTTAGGTTACCGAGAAATAACTTTGATCATCAATATTTCTACCACAGTGGGAGGCTTGTATTTAAACACTTTTGCATGCATTATCCTTGGTTAGCTTCATTTGAAGATCATATCTTTTAAGTTAAACGATAAACGGTTGTTTTACTACTAAACCGAAAACAAATTATCTACAGCCTCACACGGAGGCGCGTGTGTACCCACCTGTAAAAATATTTTTAATTTATCAGTATAGAAAAACACCAATGTGCACGTGGAGTACATAAGTAGCATCTGTTCTTAGTCCATATTATGTTCAACTCACTTTGTAGCTACCGTGTCTATTTCGAATGTAGGTAGAGAAGAAACAGGAGATCTCAAGAGATAACCGATTGCACAGTACCATTCAAACTATGTCTGATAAATAACTGAAATAGAAAGGTTTCAGAGTAGCAGCCGTGTCAGTCTGTATCAGTAAAAAGAAAAGGAGGACTTGTGGCACCTTAGAGACTAACCAATTTATTTGAGCATGAGCTTTCGTGAGCATCCGATGAAGTGAGCTGCAGCTCATGAAAGCTTATGCTCAAATAAATGAAATAGATGCACCTTTGTATGCATCTTTGCAATAGGGTTTATAATGAACATAACTTAATAATTCGGGGCAACTGAAGAAACCTGGAGGGAGTTTTAGTGTGTTCCCTGAATTAATATTTTATAATTTAAGCATAGATGTGGATTTCTTATTCAAAAAACAAACAAACAAACAAACCTCCATTCCCTTTATATACATAAAGGAATTATGGAATATATTTTTAAGAAGTCTCCTGTTGGGAACGGATCCTGATCCCACTGAATTTAGCAGGAGCAGGATGGAGCCCTTCATCAGTTGTTAAATTGTTTTGTGCCTCATTATACATTCTCGCGCAACGGTACTGAAACAGAATTTTGAAGGAAAAAAACAACCAAACCCCTGCCTGCATAATCCCTGATTTTTATTCTTATTTTTTGCAAAGCTAACAGGGACTGTTGCCAACTTGCTTGGCCCTTAGATACTAAAAAATTCGTTAATATGGTTTGAGCTGACAAATAAATAAAGGAATAAATAAATAAATAAACGTACCTATCATTTTCCTCTGATCCAACTGCCTGAATAAACAAAATCGAGGAGAATAACTGGAGTAAATCAGGTAGTTTTATGTTCTTGTGTTTAAAAATAAAACCCCAACAACATGAAACTACCTAATTCACAGAGCAGTTCTAGTTCTTTCCTGGGTCAAAGGCTAAAATTACCAAGAAAGGCGCCCGGGCGGCCATTTTGTTTGACATCACTTACAATCTGAACTTTTATAATAGAAAACAGTTGCTAGGAAACAAAAGCAACAAAAGGGTCTTTTCAAAGACAAAAAACCCCTACGATTTCACGAAATATCCATTCAGATTATTTCCTATGTACAGTGTCTAGAACGGATCTCTCCTGCAGGAGTTTACAAATAGTTTACAAATAGACTAGAGGAACCAGTAAAATGCTATTGAGTTTGAGAAACAAAAGATGATCTCAGCTATAAATAGAGCACAAAAATTTTAATAAAAGCAAATGAAAGCATCTTTTCCCGTGTGAAAATATTTTTTGAAAAATCTGATTTTTGTTAAAAAAAAAAACAACCGCCAAATATTTGGACAACTTCCTGCTGACAATAACAATAACATAAAACCAGTGAATTCTGGAAATCAAAAATCATAATTCATTTTCTCTCTCCCACACCCCAAAAAGTAAGTATAACTTAATCCAATTTTTCAAAAAGTTTGAATCGATGGGAACAATAGGAAGAGCATCGCCACATCTCTTCTATAGCTATAACCTAGCAACCTTAAGGAACTTATCTTTTTTTGCATTGAATATATAAATGATATGTTTACAGTGATTATATAAAATAATTACCAATTTTATAAAGGGGGAGAATTAGACCTAGCAAGCTGAGGAGAGGGTGAGGAAAGATGGTTGGATAACAGCCCCAAAAGGAGTTTTTGCTGAGGTTCAAGGTTCTGTGAGATTTCCTTAATTCTTAGAAGACTTTTAGAACTTTTCAAGAACATGAAAGGATTTAAATTTAGATTCCTTTAAAATATATAACACTGAGATTTTCTACTTCAGTTTTCCCGCTGCCATCTTTTTTTAAGTGTCATAAAATATAAATTAAATGTCTTACCTCGTGCGTTGTATTCTTCTATAAGTGGGTTAAATAAATAAATCAACTCACTCGAAAGACAATGAAGTAAAGATAGCCATGTTTCTAAAGTACAAGTTTCCTAGCGTTTAAAAGTTCATTAGAAGAAAAACCAAACCAAACCAAACCCACCACAACAACTAGTCCGAGTTCAAGAGATGCAGGGAGGAGCCTGAAACTTGACTATAACTTAGCTTCATTTCATTTGCAAAGCCTTTAAAGACTGGACGGGGTGGTATATAAATCTATTGTACCGGAAATACAATAAAACTTAGCCATGTTGTTGAACTTCAAACAGTTTACATCACATCAGGCGGTGAACAGAAAGAAAACACAGATTTAAAAGAAAACACCACAACACCACCATCCAACCATACATTATAAAAAGAGAAATAATTTACGATCAGAATATCAAGCAGCCTAGATTTTTATTTTTGTGCAATATTAGACCTTTTTATTGAAAAATACAAGGCATAGAAAAAATATTAGTAAGCCTCTCTGGCATCGACTGGGATTTAAAACAAAGATACACTTTTTATTTCAAATGTATCGTTTCGTTTTTGATCACAGTCATGACTCACAGTGCACCAGAGAGGGGCAGGTTCAAGTTTAAATCAAACTCTGGAAAAAAGTCAAAAGGCTATACTGCTATCAAACTTTATTTGTGTTTCATTGACAAATAATCCACGCCCCACACCTGTCAAAACGTCTTATATTGAATTCTATCTGCTACAGAGACTTTTTTTAAAAAATTGAAACCACTAGATCAAACATTTTTCATTTATCTTCTTCAAAGCTTCCAGCGTTGGAGTGACATTGGTACTGAGAGCTCTTCCACTTATACAAAACAACAAACTGAAAGAATATGTTTATCATTGAGCTTTCACTGCTCAAATTTGGAAATTAAATACACCACCCCCCATCAAATTACAGACTGAAACATAAATAAAACGACCTAGATAAGTGTGAAGTACAAAACTGCATGTGCCATATAATTTCACGACCAGGTTTAAAATAAATAATGGAAAGCTTAATAATAATCATAATAAAACTACATAAACTATATATTGGGTTTAATCCTTGAGCTGGAATAACATTTTAAAGTAATGGGATTCCCCCACCCCCACCCCCTTTCTGGCTGTTGCGAAAGTTCTTCAAAAGGTTTTAAATTTAGGCGTCACAGACCAGCTCCTGCTCTCATATAGTTAATGGATATCTTAGCTATAGGACAACTTCCACTCGTCAAGAGATACCTGCTAAAATAATTAATAGGCAAGGGAAAATGAAAGTGTATGCGTATATATCAATATATGTATATCTGTGTCTGTATCTATTTTATATATATATATATTATATATATATTATATATTATACATATATATATATGTGCTTTTGACGCTCAAGTTCTCATTATGTTTTATTTAGACCTGCACCACGCTATGGTTTTATTAAAATATTGTTACAACAGCTGTTTGTCAGGGTTCCCATCCATCAGAACTAGCCTCTGGGAGTATTTGTCATCAGTTCTGTAAGAGTGGGGGAATATTTTCAGCCAGAATGTGTTACATATGGAAGGTGCTTATCGCATTTAAATGGATAAGATTAAAAAGTTGTCTTAAAAACCCTTACTGTCTAGCATTGTAGGAGCGCCATTCGAAAGAAATGTCAGTGGGGCTATTACTTTAGAGTGAATTCTTTTTAACTATGCTTCAGCCTGAAGGATATATCACAAACAGAAAACACTACGTCGGAATATTTCTTAACCACATGGTTTAAGAGATAATAAAATATATATTTGAAACCCCTTAACATTGTTACAGCAGCGGTAACAAAGACAAAAAAATAAATATTACCCCTCCCTTTCTTCCCCACAAATTGATTTGCGTTGGTTTTATTTAGTCACTTGTCACAATGAGAACTGAGCTGTTAAATTCTGGTCGCACCCAATTATCTTTGGTCATTTTTTTTCAGTTTCATCCTGCGGTTGTGGAACCAGATTTTGTCTAATCTGTGAAGCTGGCACTTCGTCTGACCTCTAGGCGGCGCTCTCTGGTCAAATACATAAAGAAGAATTTCTTTCCCAGCTCCAGCGTCTGGTATTTAGTATAAGGGCTTCTTTTTTCCTTTCCACCCTTTGCAGTCAGCCAGCTGCCAGTTATAGCTGCAGCTTTTGAATCCTCTGCCAAGTATAAGACAAACATTTGTAACTGTGTTTTGATGCAAATGAAAAAGAAAGAAAGAAAGAAAGAAAGAAAGAAAGAAAGAAAGAAAGAAAGAAAGAAAGAAAGAAAGAAAGAAAGAAAGAAAGAATAATTTTCTATTCATTAAAAGAGTCAGAAAACGCAACTAATTTGTCCACTTTAAAAAAAAAACTAGTTCTCTGTAAACCAACTTCAGAGGAAGGTACCTGAATTTAGACTGTCAGTAACAATCTTTTAGCTCCTTTTTCACTGAACCCAGGTATCTGTTGTGAATCCCAGATAAAAGAAATTGAATTATGCTTTTAAAAAAAGTTTCTGTAAGGCATGGAATAACCAAGATTTTTCCAGTCCCAAGCAGCTTTATATGAGATAGCAACCCAGGAATGAAATTAAAACCAGAAGCCTTTATATTACACAACTGCGTAGTTTTACAGTTTTCTTATTACCAGCGGAACTCACTTTATTATATTAGTCGTTCACTGACGTTCAGGCGTACATAAATGAATCAAATGCATCACATTTTGCGAGGACCAGTCTTACAATGCAGACTCGAAGACTAAAGCCGCAGCATCACACATGGCGATTAGCAAATTAATACAAGGCGCGCAGTGAAATAACCCTGATCAGAGATAATGAAACGACACAGCCTTCGTCTCCGAAATTTAGACGCGAAAGCGATTGGCTGGAAATGTCCACAGGACATGTAAGACTCCAAGGACCAGTGAAAATCATATCCAGTATAAGATGTCATATCCCACCTTAATGTGTGCATGTACTAGAATAAAAGAGTGGTGGAAAAAATTAAGGGGGAAAAAGATATAATATAATATATAAGATATAATATAATCATCCTTGCAAAACTGAAAGAGACACCATCAATTTGTAATTTATGCTCAATTTTTTTTTTAAAGCTAAAGGTAGTTTCAGGTATTAGACCTGCTCCTGAAGCCCCCTGCCAGTTGTCTGTGGTTTTACAATTACATGTTAACAATTTATGATTGTATTGAATACTATTTGACCTCTTGTTGTGGTAAAGTTTCCCACAAAACAAAGGAGGAATTGACTGTGAAAAGTGAACCTGACTTGACACAAGTTGCTGCTGTCAAATGGGCACAATTTAAAAAAAAAATTCTCAATCTAATCTCTTTCAGTCATTTTCGGAGACAGGTGCAACGATAGAAAGTCAACATGATTCAGAGAAAAGCGATTTTTTAAAAAAAATCGACGGTGTCCATTTAAGTGAGTCAAAGAACTCAATAGGAAGCCATTCGACACATCATTTTGGTCCGTCCAGCATACACCTGAACATATTGAAAAACAGCTGTCAGTGAATGCGTTTCCAGGGCCTAAAATCATTTCTAGACTGAGTCATTTTCTGGATAGAAAACCCTAGAATCCGACCCACACCTTATATGTCATTACAGCATGATCACATCCCCCCAGTATGTGAAGAATTAAGCAAATCGAACTGTAGGAGCAAATTCTGTTTTCCATGATATAGATCCTTGTACTTAAGAGCAGAATCAGGTCTCCCAACAGCGGAGAGGAATTTTTCAGACACTAAGAAATATATATAAAAAAACCCCTACGGACCTGGTTCCCTCACAGTTAAAAGTTTTCTCAAAATACTTCTCTTATTGTCTGCAGGTGCTAAATATAAGTGAACGCTTTGTAAGGAAGATAAAAACCAAAAGTGTTCCTCTGTGGCAAGGCACAAACGCTAAACTATATTTCCGCAGCAGCGTGCTTCAGGTTTTGTTTGCTGCTTTGTTTTTAATGTATTAGAGGTCAATAGCCTTGTTTCTGTGGCTAATAAGGGACATATTTAAACACACATAATCTAGTTTTTAATGCAGTTGGGGTTAAACTGATTGTCATGGTGAACGCCAATCCTTAAATTCAGCACGTAACTTTAGTCACATGAACAATCCCTTAGACAACTCACGTGAGTAAAGGCTTTCATGTGCTTGGCAGGATCGAGCTCTCAGTGTGAAAAAAAAACCCAAACTTTATTTTTAAATCTTTATTGGTCTCTGCAGACGCTGCAAAGTTACTGACTCAGTCAGTTGAAATGTTCTTTAATTAGTAGTAGAGTATTTTGGCAGAGTGGCTAAGCCTTAAAAAGTAATTTAGCAGCAGGTACAGCATAATATAGGAAACATTAGGTTGATTGCCATTAAATAATGGAATACCAAAATGTTTTTTTAAAAAAACTTATTTTATGATCCAATGAGCAGTCAATCTGTATATGCACATTTAACTTTACCAAATTAAATGTTTAGTCTAGTTGCTTCACATATAACCTCAAGGGATCATAGTGTAAACCCTTTTCTTTCAGGCATTAACCTACCAAAAAAACTTCGAAAGATTACAACATAACCTGTTTTCAGGGTTGTTGGAGTTTTTTTGTGTGTGGGGGGGGGAGGTAGTTTGCTTTTTGTTTTGCTTCGAGTACTTTCATCCAGTTACCTTGATTCCAGGGATACTTTTGAAAGAGGTTTAAATCTTTCTAATAATTCTCCGTTGCCAAGAATTAGAACTGCTGATTGACAAAGGCAGTCCAGGAAATATACAAAACTATGCTCTTATTTCAATAAAATATTCAAATTGCTAACCTCAGGTTAGTTTCAGAGGGGAATACAGTTAAGAATTAATGGATTCATTTGTTTAAATAAGCCCGTTGCACTAACAGGTCGTTTTCACGGTTTTCAACACTGTTAGTAGAGAACTAGAGAAAGTAGGGAACTTCCAGGCAATTGAACTTAAAGTTACAATAATTGTGAAGCAAAATGTATATCTATCTATCTAAGCTCTATGGAGAAACAGCACTATAGACGTGGAGAGGAACATAAACCGGACGAGTTCTCCCGAGGTGGGTGGACTTGGCAGTCCTGTTGAAATGACCGCATAATTTCAAGTCTAAGAGACAGCCCTTCTTGTCCACTCAAAGGATAGCAATTACATAACCAATATAAATAGCGCCGTTAAAAATGTATCAGGAAGCAAAGAAATTAGGATGGCTTCGTGAAAATAAAAAGGGTAACTTGGCTAAAGCGAGGTAGTCCATTAAAAGTGCAATCTCACAATTTGGTGCTTTTATTATGAAGATCCTGGTTGCAGTTTAAGAAATCCCCACCCTCACGTATACCCCCCAGCAGAAAAGTCCTCTTTGCCATTTCAATACTTGTGGTGAGTCCACAATTTTGCATAGCCTTGGTGATTTCATTTTAATTCGATTTCTAGGGTCGAAAGCGATAGCTGTTTTTTTAAAGCCATGTTTGATTATGGACTGGAACGATGACCTCCCTCTCCCCCAAATACACACAAGCTAAAGGAGACACATATGGGGGGGGGGGGGGATTTTGCCTCAGATCCAGACATTTAGGGAAAAACAAGGCAAGGCAAGGCTGGCTTTAGGTAAATATTTCAGAGGGTTGGAATTAAATTATAATTCAAAAAACAGGTCTAATGGGCAGTTCATGTAGCTAAACTGCCCTGGAGTTTCCTACACAGGTGTCTGCAAGTTTGATGAGAAGAATGCAACATTCTTTGGAATCTACACATGGGAAATTATCAGGGCTCAGCAGGTTATGAAAAGAAACCCTCCAAATTAGTTCCCCGGTCGCCTACCCACCTTTATTCCAAACGTACTGTGTCCATAACTGACTTACCTGTCTGTCTGTGACTTTGGATCTCTTAGCTAGAAGAATATCAGGGCAAAAATGCGTTTTCGTTTACGGTACAGCCTAGACATCGCGAAAAAAAAAAAATCTTTCCAAGCGCTGGGTTATTTTCTTTTATTTTTAAATCTTTCCTATGGGGCCACTCAGGAATGAGGGCTGTAATTGAGTCGGCCATGAATGCTTGGGTGCTGTAAATTAATTTTTAACTAAAGGGTCATTGTGTTAGTGAGGGGAGGGGGGAAGCCCACCTCCCCCCCCCCCGCCCTCCCCCCCCTCCGCTCCTTGGTAGTCTGGCTAAAATCACCTTGTTTCGACTGCAAACCTGCTTTTGGCCTTCTTTTTTTTGCTTTCTGTACCCACCTTGTATTTCTTGCGCCGTTGGGTCGTCTTTAGGCCTGTCTAAAAGTGAAGCCTCCTGGAGGAAAAAACGCTGCTCTTCCGTTTTCCCCGTCCCGGATGATCCATAGCCGGGTTTCAGTCTAATGGAAGCTTCATAGTCCCCCTTTACAGTATCCGAGCAAGATGACGAAGGGCTGCTTTCTCGCCGGTGCCCGGTAGCAGCAGGAGGGGTGAAGTGGTCAGGCAACGAAAGCACCTGGGAACCTGCTGGCTTGGTGGCTACCTGGGGCTGGGAAGAGGTGCCGATGCTTTGGCTAGGTCCAGTCCCGGGGCTGGTGGTGGCCCCAGTTTCGGACTCAAGCCTGGAGAAAGTGGACCCCTCTGGCTGCGGGGCTGGATAGTTCTCGTCATCAAATCCCAAACTGGACGGCTCGTCTTTGCCTCTGGGTGCACCCCCACGGGGATCTCTGTGCTGGGGAGCACCGCGCCCTGCTGGGTCCCCCCAACCTGAGTGGAAGGGAGGCGGAAGGTACCGCAGCGGTCCTGGCTGGTGACGACTCATCTCACCCCAAAAGGAGGTAAGGGAAATGTTTCCCCCCCCCATCCCCCAGTTTGCAATGGGAAGAAGGGGAGGGGGGGGGGGGGAGATGGGGGCCGAGAAGCAGCTGTCACGGATTGTTTTGGGCCCTAGCACCGATGGGAGGGTCGTCTGCACATGGAGCAGCACCGGGATCTGTGGGGCTGGGGCTGTGACAAAATATACTTTGGGGGGAAGGGAAAAAAAGGGTCTCTAGCAGTTGACTTATCTGTTGGAAAGGGCGTCTGCGAGCAACTTCCGGCGAGCGAACCAATCCGAGGTGGACGTGACCGCTAGGGCCATCCCATGGTGTCAATTTTAATGGGAAACTTTGCTGGGTTTTTTTTTTCAGGGGACTGGGTGTTTCCCCTCCCCAAAAAGAAAACATCTGTAGCTAAAGTTGAGCTTCTCCTTGTCTCTCCCTCCAAGCGCGTGACTCTAATACAATTATTATTAACCTCCCCAATAATATTTGGGGATGTTCCTGGGTATTTTTTAGGAAAGACTTATTGCATGAAACCTTTGATGGACAAGGGAGAAGGGATCTGAGCTGTGAAGAGGGCGGGAATGTATATCTGATCATGGAAGGCACACCTCTTCCCTCTACACAGAACTAAATTTTAACAACAAGAAGTTGATTTCCCAATTACACTTTTTTAACCCTGCCTTTGGAAGTTAGGGTTAAAGGAACTGAATGGAGAAGGTAACCTAACCAATCCATTGGCTGTATCCACACATACAAAGAGAGAAATATGCATACACCTATGGTATAGCTATTAAAATATATATACAACTGGGACATACATTAAATATATACACATATGGCAGACACAACCGTACATAGCACGTTAAAGACAAGACGACCTGGCCTCCTATTCCAAATTTATCTTATATTTTTTCAATTTTCATACTGATGGGGACTATATAAATGAACCAATAAGTAAATAATTGCATTAAAAAAACTAATCCCCCTTCTGAAAGTTGAAAAGACGGGTGACTCGTCCTGCATTTCATTATGTTGCCTTTTTTTCGGATCATCTGGATGGTTTTCCACCGTTATTAGTCACGAGCAGCTGGAATTGAGCATGTCAGCAAAAAAAGAATTCGAATGCTTTTGAGGCAGGCCATTATGTATTTACGATCGCTGGACTGTGAAATGAAACAAGTGTTACTTTCCAGGATTAAATATTTGTGGTGGCGCTAGGTAGAGTTTCGTCCATAATGGACTCACACAGAGAAATGGTCTAACTTGGTATGCGCATATTTGTTCCGATTAGTTTTTCCAATAGGCTAACTTTCTAAATTAACTCTTCCCCCTCCCCACGAAATTCAAGGTCTTGGCCGATTGTTCAAGACATAGCGGAATAAGAACATTGCCTTGATAAGCAAAGTTCAATGCTCTAGCAACGGGAAACGCGGCGGGCCTGATTCTGACCTCCAATCTGTGTAAATCAGCAGTTACCCCGATGAACTCAATGGAGTAATGGGGTGTAAACCCACGAACACTGGATCAGAACCAGTGAGAAAGGCATTTATTGCATAAACTGTTTTAGATTGTACCTTTCTTTAAAAGAAAAGAAAGAAAGAAAGAAAGAAAGAAAGAAAGAAAGAAAGAAAGAAAGAAAGAAAGAAAGAAAGAAAGAAAGAAAGAAAGAAAGAAAATCTTGCCTTGGAAGAAAGAAGGAAGCCAAGTTCTGCACACCCCACAGCAGTATGTATTATACATGTGAATCATAGAATCATGTGCATTTTTTGTAATGGATTATTTGCAGGTTTCGACGAGTGGTCGCACAGGACATTTAAAAAACATTCTGAATGAATCCTATCTCTGTCGTTGAGGGGGGAAAATGATGTTATATGTGACAAAATCCTCCCCCTGCTCTCATTGAAAACCCTTTAAATTTCGGGGGGTTGAATGGACACTTTCCAAACTCCGCAGTTTGGATCAGAGAGTTATAAATTGCAGGATGGGGGCAATCTTTGGAAACTGCCTATCCAATTTCGCCTTGAAATACAGCCGCCCTCTAAGGAATAAGCAGGCAGGGAAGATATTTTTCGCCACAGATTGATTGAAGCTAATCTTGCGATAACATGTGATGTCTTACTTTCTCTCGCGCGCACACACATAGTGTTATTTTATCTGAGTCTTTTAAAAAGTAAGAGATTAGTAAATCACAGTGGATAATTCACTCAAAGACAGACAATCTTGACAGCTGTTTGCGAGCTCCAAAAACTGGTTTAACAAAACTTCCCAGAGAAGCAAAGCATCGGTTATAAAATAGCCGTGCCTGGGCTTAGACTCCTCTAACTTTTTTTCGCCTCTCAGGTGTCATTTTTAAAAGGTTTCAAACTGTTCCAGACTGTGTCTGAGATATTTTGTTCATATCAACACTGAATACGGAATTCATACATTTGACATGGAATGCGGAGAGGCATTCTTGGGTGAGACATTCCTACTTGGAGACTAGACCTCTGGCAACCGGAAGAATTTAAAATAGTCTTAAATTAAGACTCAAATAAATAATAAATAAATTGCTCAAATAAATTGGTTAGTCTCTAAGGTGCCACAAGTCCTCCTTTTCTTTTTGCGAATACAGACTAACACGGCTGCTACTCTGAAACCTGTCCTTGAATTAAGGATAATTAGTAACTGACTCTGATAAATGTATTTAAACCGTGGCTGCGAAATATACACTCCCTGTCGAAGTTTCCCCACCCCCCCTACAGTGTTTACTTTCTAGGTGTTCCTGTGTCAAAAAAATATCTCCCCCTTTGCTGTCTACATGGGATTTTGCAAACATATACAAAACGTTGTTTCTAATGGTCGGACCTTTCCACACAGCCGTCCCCATCATCAGAACACTTGGGTGCTGGACTCTGGCTCAGTGAGAGTTTTGCCTCCAGGGTCGGGCCTTTGCTGCTAACAAAGTTTTGAGTTACTTTGCAGGCTCACTTTGTGGTTCAAAGTATCATCTCAATCTGGTTTAAGGGTAGCAACATGATAAAGAGAATTAGAGTACCCCTCACGTGCACTCAAGCCACCAGATCTGTTTATAGGTGATGGATAAGTGTTGCAAGTTTTTCATAGCGTATTCAACTGGATGTGTTTTCTGAATGACCCGTAGAAGTCTGTTACTGTTGCAGACATTTTTAGCAGTTAATTTTTCTGGAGGCGTGGGGGGGAGGGAGAGGGAGAAGGTAACTGGATAAGATCCAAAAAAGGGGATAGTATGGGGAAATCTATACCATAGCATTGCTATTGGCCTTACTAGAAGAAGAAGAAGAAGAGAATCATCTCACTTTATAATTTAATTATCCCGTTCAAGTTCACCAAAAAAACCTATAATTTGAAAGAAGTAGGGCCCGATCGATGTTAATAAAAGGGCATCCATTTCAGGAGTAGAAGGCAAGAGGAAGGTAATTTTATTTTAAAAGCAGTCTTCCCCTCCCCTTTTAAACTAAGCATTTGACCACGAAAAACGAAATCTTGGCAAATCTACTGCCCATGTAACATTCAGTGAAGCAGACTGCAGAGTCTAGTCACACGATGGCCATCGCTAAATGTACCTACAATACACAGTGGGCCCAATTCCGATTGCATCCGGGCAGTTAATCACCCACCAATTCCAGAGTCTTTAATTTTAGTTCAAGAATCTCCCTCCCTCCTCCCCCCCCCCCCCATGGCTTCATACTTCTGAGAATCGACAGATATTCATGTGATCCGTATTATATTATCTCTCATGCTAGGCTTGCTACTTGATCAAGCACAGGCGATTATATCGTATATGATATGTTGAAACGATTTGTTTTGCGTTGTTTAGGTAACATTTTAAATATCCTCCTTATTTTCTTTGGTGTTTTTAAAGTGAACCCGACAAGTGGATTCTCCCCCCCCACGTCCCACCCCTTTCCAACGGTCTGCTGAGCTGCTGTAAAGCCATGGAAAGCCATGGAGAAAGCACAGGGTTTTGAAAATGGTGCCACATGAAGTCAAGTCACATGGTGATCAGAAAAGAGATGCTTACAATGTTGCTTCTGACAAAGGCTTCATTTCCAGCCTAAAATGTTAAGTCCTTAGACCGCTTTCATTGGCAAACTATGATGGTAACTAAAGTATTAAAATATCTTGCCTATACTCGAAATACCTTATTTATTCTTACGATCTATCTATCTACCGATCTATCTATCCCCCCATGCACCCCTTCTATCTATCTATCTACCTATCTATCTATCCCCCCATGCACCCCTCTATCTATCTATCTATCTATCTATCTATCTATCATAGCCACTGCTTTCACTAAAGGGGTGTCATCTTTAAACCTAAAGGCCTGTTTAAAAAACAAAACAAAAACCAAACCCACAAATCTTTCTTGCAAAAAGTCACCTTACCTGAGTTTTACACCGAAAACTACAAGGTAACAATTTATTTTATGACCCAAGTTACAGGACACAGTTTCATATCACTCCTTCATTTAACTTTGTCTCTCTTTGTGTGTTTGATTTCCCGCTCAGACGCCTAGGGATTTAGCATGAATTTAAACACTCAAACCTTGCAACGGGAGTTGACTCACGACTTGGTCTGAACCCGCCGGATGGTCAGAACGTCTGGCGTCGAATCCTGCTCTCAGCTGGGTGGATTTTCAGCCTTTCACATGCCACTTCAATCACCCTCAAGGCAGGGAAAAGGAAGAGGAAAATAATAACCAGAGGAACACCTCAACCAGCAACAGTTTCAACACCTCCAGCAGGAAAGTAATCAGATATATTTTTTTCCTCCTGGCTCAGACGCCATGACTTCTGCAAAAGGTGTCTTTGATCCTTCCCTTTAAGGCCCATGCCATAAAAAAAGAAGTCATAGCTAAAGTCCACTTTAAAGTGAAGAGATTTGAGCCCTCTTTTGCTCGCCCCCGCCCCCTTCTTCGTCTGAGGACCTTCCCTAAGAGTTTTTATGATTCCTCCCTGTGCAGTGTCAAAGCTTCGCCGCACCTAAAGTGGAATGGGCCCTTGTTACTACAGAGCTGCGTACAGAGCAGACAGGCGGCTAAACTTGGCCATATCTAGCTTCTCAATCTCTTCCGCTCTCTAGTTCAGGAAGGCGTGTGGATTTCCTCTATTCCGCCATTAAAAATAAAATAAAATAAAATAAATAAAAAGGTGGATCCGAAAATCAATAGGTACAAAGAATCTCCAGACTGGCTGGTTGCCTACCTCAGTGGCAGGCGGCCAATCCACTACATCACCCTGAAACTATTTAGCAAGCGTCCCGCTGAAATGGGGTCTTTTAAAAGACTCTCCCTCCACCCCCTCTTCCCAAACGCCACTGGCTCTCATATATTATTTGGGCTAATGTGAGGTTGTTCTCTTTCGTGTAGGGGGTGGGATTTGTATAGACAACCGCCTTCCATTGCTAGGAATTTGGAGACAGAATCCCCTGTTGACCAAGGATAGTTTTCTTGGGATTAGAAATGTCTGACCTTGAAGGTCACAGGTCATGGTCTTGAATAAGGAACAGACTCTTACAGAAGACTACGTTGGGCTGGTGAGGCTTCCAACAAAAAGAACGCCTTTTGTTTGGTACTAGAACCAGACTCCTCCCTCAAGAGTTATGGACCTCCTCAAGGTGATCAAATACCTGCAGATAAAGCAAAATAAACATTTTGACACATTTTCTGGGGGTGTGATGGGGAGAGGGAAAGAGGGCTGGAGCCACAAGATCTTATTATTTATTATTTGTGTTCTAGGAGGGCCTAGTAGCTACAGCTGAGAAGAAGGTCTCATTGAATCATAGAATCATAGAATCATAGAATATAAGGGTTGGAAGGGACCCCAGAAGGTCATCTAGTCCAACCCCCTGCTCAAAGCAGGACCAATTCCCAGTTAAATCATCCCAGCCAGGGCTTTGTCAAGCCTGACCTAAAAACCTCTAAGGAAGGAGATTCCACCCCCCAACCCCACCTCCCCCCCACTGTAACTTGAGACCATTACTCCTCGTTCTGTCATCTGATACCATTGAGAACAGTCTAGAGCCATCCTCTTTGGAACCCCCTTTCAGGTAGTTGAAAACAGCTATCAAATCCCCCCTCATTCTTCTCTTCTGCAGGCTAAACAATCCCAGCTCCCTCAGCCTCTCCTCATAACTCATATGTTCCAGACCCCTAATCATTTTTGTTGCCCTTCGCTGGACTCTCTCCAATTTATCCACATCCTTCTTGTAGTGTGGGGCCCAAAACTGGACACAGTACTCCAGATGAGGCCTCACCAATGTTGAATAGAGGGGAACGATCACATCCCTCGATCTGCTCGCTATGCCCCTACTTATACATCCCAAAATGCCATTGGCCTTTTTTTGAAAAAAGGCAAACTCCTGACTCATATCCACCTTTTTTTTTTTTTTGGAAAAAAAAAAAAAAAAAAGAAAGATCTTTTTCCCAAAGTAGTGCCCAGATCCTCAAAGATATTTAGGTGCCTAAATGACATGGATTTCATCCTAAATACACTGCTAGGGGAAAGGAAGCAACATTATCCCCATTTTCTAGAGGGCAAGAAAGATGAAGTGATGCAACCAAGGTCCCACAGGAAGTTTGTGGCAGAGCCAGAAGCAGAGTCCATGCCTCCTAAATCCCAGTCTGATGGCCTCACTACACAAACACCCTTCTTCTCTTCCCACTGGGCTATGGGATTATTGTGCTGCCTGGGGCAAATCACATCACCATTCTGTGCCTCAGTTTCCTCACCTGTAAAATGGGGATAATAATACATGCCTCCTTTACAGCATTGTTGTGAAACTTCATTCATGTTTTCAAACAGTGCTAGGTCTGTACATGGAAGTATTACAAGTATCATAAACATTCCCAAGTGGAGAGAGGTGGATGTCACAGATATTCAGTGATAAAAGCCCTATATTAAATAACAAACACAAAACTACTTCAGTCAGCAGTGATGCACCTTTCCATGAGTTCTAATGGTTTAGGAGTTTGGTAAGGGTTACAGACACATGAAACATATAGGACCAAAAATTGTTACCAGTTCATGATTGGTAGGTTGTTTATGTGAAAAGGAGCTGGCAATGCCAGTCCAGTTTGGAGAGGAATTCTTGTGTACAAATCACAGTTAGAATTTACTGTTCCTGTGTTGTCTCAGCAAAGAGGCCAAGGGATTGAGTGGGCCAAGGAAACTGAATTCTCTATAGGCATCCCTAGAGATGGTCCCTCCAAATCAGGAATGGGCTATATTTATTTAATGGCGGAGTCATCTGAATTGTACCAGTTTGAGGACAAAGAGGACTTCACTCTCCAGGATTGTTTAATTAGGCACCATTCACTAAGTCCGGATCCTATAGACTGTTACACATATGCTTAGCGTTACACAGGTGAGGAGTTCTATCAAGTTCAATGGGGCTACTCACATAAGTTGAAGTTACTCTGGTGCTTGAGTGCATGCGGGACCAGGGCCTTAATGTACTCTTTGAAAAACAAGAATTTTTATAATATTATGGTCTGATTTTCAGGAGAGCTGAGCACAGGTGTCTATCACTGAAGTCCATGGGAGCTATAGAATCTCAGCACATTTGAAAATCAAGCCATTTGGTCCCAGTCCTGCAATTAGTTAAGTTGCTCCTTAATTTTATGCAGGCAAGTATTCCCACTGTGTTCAATTGCATTAAAATTAAACACATGCATACATATTTGAAGAACTAGGGGCCTGATGAATTGCATAAAACTGTCTCCCTATATTTCAACACAAGTGTAGGTAGATATTGAGGTATAAATATTGGAGGTAGATATTGTCATATCTTCAATGGCAGCAGATGCTAACTGGCACTGTGCAGTCACCTTTATTCAAACTGCACACTGGATTATTTGAAGAAGAAATGGTAGGTTTGCTTCTTATTTAGCGACAAATAATATGCCGCTTTCAGAGAACGAGCATTCAGTACACCTGAAAATTGCAGTAAACCAGAATTGACTTGGCCAGTCTCTCAGATTATGTAAATCAGGGTGGCTCCAGTGACATCACTGGGTTGATCAAGGAGTTTATCAAGGCAAGGAGAGGAATGCTAGGGACTATGCTTCCAAAGATCATTCAGAACACTACGGTTGGTTATTTACAATTATCAACTGAGGAAAAATATTTGAAAAAGTTAATTTCACTCTCCTTTCTTTTAAAGTATGTCCTAGTAGCTGTGACCTCCAGAGATTAGACGGGTGAAGGCAAACAGTCAGCAACACACACAAATAGAATCATGTCATGCATATACATACTACACGCATACACACACACATATAGTCATGAATACGCATGCAGAAAGAATTTTGCATGTCTAAAAATGGGATTGGACATCTGTATGAGTCAGGGGTAGAGAGGGAGGGTTGTCAGGGATAGGAAGGAGAGTGTAGTGGGTGCTCAGCATGGGAAATGAGGGAAGCCACCACTGGCACTTGGAAGGTGGGGGTATGGGCAGAAGGGTGGCGGGGAGGCTCCCAGTGATTCACACTGGGGGTAGCTCCTCCCAGGCTCAGCCCAGTCACCCTGGTGCCTACCTGTTCCTAGACGCCATGGGGTTAGATCCAGCCCATCCGTAGGGTGACCATATTTCCCTCAACTGAAAATGGGACACTGGGTAAGCAGTGATGCCAGCCCAGCCGTGCACAGGGCTGGTCTCAGCCACCTGGCATCGTTGCTTGCCTGAGCCCTGCCACGCAGGGCCGTCAACCCAAACCAGGGCTGACAGCCTGAGCCCCACCACATGAGGCTGGCCCGAGCCTTCTGGCATCGCTGCTTGCCTGAGCTGACATCACGGAGGTCATGACTTTTTTTTTGGCAAAACTGGGCATTTGTCCCATTTGCTCTTGCCTGAAAAAGTCCTCTGTGCCCCCCCTCCCCCTCCCCCCCCGGGCAAGAGAAAAAGAGACAAATGTCCATTTTTGCCAGAAAATTTAGGATGTCTGGTACAGAGCTTAATGGGCCAAATGGGGTGTATGGTCACCCTACCCATCCAGATCCCACTCTCACCTCTGCCCCCAGCAGCTGCAGAGTCCCACCTGGCCTGATCATGTGAAACAACTCATGTGGGGGTGAAAACGTAGATCAGCCCCTCACAGTATTTCCATTGTGCCAGCCCACAGTGCCCCAGGTTCCACCACCCCTGGATTATGCCACAACAGCCGACTGTGGATTTTTACACCTTACTCTGACACATCTAGGACTGGTCCATTTGGGGACAGGATACTGAGCTAAATGGGTCACTGGTCTGGCCAGGATGGTGATTCCTATGTTCCTACACACACACAGAGTCACAGAAATCATAGAAATGTATGGCTGTAAGGGATCTCAAGAGGTCATCTAGTCCAGCCTACCTGAAATGAGACCTGATTAAGTATTAAGTCATGCACATACATCCTAGATACACAAAGATATAGTCATGCATACAAGCACACAGTCCCACTACTTCCCTTTACTGTTTGGAGAAAATGATTTTACAGATACAGCTGGAGGAAAATAAGTGTAAGGAGAATTTTTGTCCATGTTTATTGTTTACACAGTGCAAAATGATGAGTGAATCGTTGCTACGTTTGCATCCCATCTTCTGCTTTGCTACTACCCTGTTATTCCTTTGCCTGTTTCAAATTCTTGTATTCAGCCTCTGGGCTCTACCTTTCCTTTACATTTTATATATAGGCTTGTCAGAATCCAACTTTTATTTTTTTATGTATAATTTTTTTTTGGTATTGATTTAAATTTTCACAGCTGCACCAAATTATGGGTTTTAAGCATTCCCCCCGCAATTTGTATCAATTTAAATTTTCACAATTGTGAGAAATTATGGGGCAGGGGTCATGCACCAGGGATCAGACAATCATTATTTAATGACAGTAGACACTGAGATTCAAAGAGTTAAAGCTTTATCACTGTTGCAAGACTAAGTGCCATGTCACAAGTCACATGTCAACATATGAAGTAAATATCCTTAAATCAAACTCTAATAAGCTCTCAAGCAACATTTTTCTTACTTTGCCTGTCTGTAAATGTTTATTCTTAGTGAGGGCAATATTTTTTGTCAGTTTGTGTATGTACGATGAAACATTTACCTACAAAAATCTAATCCTTCCAATCCTATGTATATATCCTTTGGAGAGGCAAGTATGTTCCAGTTATTATCATTACAATGCAGTTACTAGTGAGACCCTGTCAGCTGGGTTTTGGGTATAAAGATTTGTCCATGGGAAAGGGTACATCGGTCCATTCAATACATGTGACACCAGAAAGCAAACAGAGACAACTTTTGGCCACAGTACCTACCAAACCGTTTCAGGTCCAACAGTTACCGAATCCTTTGGACTGTGGTAAACAGTGAGAGCGTATTGCTGCCCTTGCTGAGAAGCTGCACCTTTCCGCTGTTTCCCTAACATTAGGTCTAGTGTAATTTTCTTTCATTTCATGGCTCAGGTTTCCACTGAGTGGAAAGGAGATGCAAAAACTTGAGGTTTAGAATGCTTCCAAAGTCTTTGCCAACTGCAGTTTGAGAGCGAGGTAACACTAGAGGGCGCCATGGTTTCAGTTTAATTAACAAGAAAGGTTTACCAATCCAGAGCACAAACCTGGAGCAAGGAAACAAATCAGAACTAAAAGATTACTAGTGCTTTCATCAGGATTTCATGCTGAATTTATCTTGATTTACATGAAAAGATTATGCAGCAATAGGATCCAAACGACAGTAATCCAAGGACTTCAAAGGCCATATCCTGGTGCACTTGTAATCTTATTCAAGGCAATTTGGTTTAAGTGGCTGGCACAAAAAACTTTTTTTTCTCTGCCTAGTTTTTGATTCTTTGCTTTGATGCATTCTGATAAAATAATGGCCCAT